GGAGAAGAAGAGAAGATTATGGGGGGAGAAGAAGAGAAGATTACGGGGAGAAGACGCGATTACGGGGGGGAGGGGAGAAGAAGACAAGATTACAGGGGAGAGAAGAAGCGGAGAACACAGGGAGGGGGGGGAATAAGAGAAAACACCGGGGGAGAAGAAGAGGAGAACACGAGGGGTGGGAGATGAGAAAGTAGGGGAGGGAGAGACCACTAAAGGAGGGAGGGGGCAGTGGAGAGACCGCTAAGGGAGGGGGGTGGAGGATAGACCACTAGGGGAGGGTGGGGGGAGAGGAGAGACCACTAATGGAAAGTCGGGGAGAAAAGGAGACCATTAAGGGAGGTGGGGGGGGAGAGGAGAGACCACTAAGGGGCAGGGGAGATATCTAAGGAATGGAAGGGAGAGCTCTATAGGACAGGGGGACAGGGAGCTCTTTCACACCACGCGCGCACACACACACACACAATGCATCCCTATACACACAGAAACACAACATGCTTCCCTTACACACAGAGAAACACACAATGCAACCCTTACACATAAAGACAATGCATCCTTTGCACATATACACAGAACACACACAATGCATCCCTTACACACACATGCAAACACACACTGTTTCTCTTACACACACACACAGAAACACAATGCATCTCTTACACACACTCAACACACCCCTTACAGACACACACACTGCATCCCTTACACACACACACAGAAACACAATGCATCTCTTACACACACTCAACACACCCCTTACAGACACACACACTGCATCCCTTACATACACAGAAACACACTTTGCATCCCTTATGCATACAAACACAGATTCACACAATGCATCCCTTACACACAACAAGAAACACACAATACATCCCTTATACACAAACACTCACTGCTTTCTATCCCTTACTGCTTCCACTACACACAAACACACTGCATCACCTACACAAACTGGTATCCCTATACACTACATTCCGTAAGCACACACATTAGATCCTCTACAGTAACACATAACACATCCCCTACACACTCTACTCCCTGTGAGCGAACTCATGGGTGGAACATGTAGGTGGCCTTATGGGTGGGCTTTATGGGCATACTCACCGTCAGGCCCTGGGGCCCAGACCTTGAGCTATGTAAGAGGCCCCCAAAAATGGAGCTGCTTCCCGTTCTCCCAGAACATTGAATTTTGTGACCACAGTTGCAAACAGCCTCCAGAGATCCTGTTCTACACCAGACCAGTGGAGCCAGACTGCAGCCAGAGCCCATCACCATCCTCATCTGATTGTAAGTAGACAATCTAGTATATTATTAGTGACACTAATCTCTAGTTTACCTCACATTAAATGGACACTATAGTCCCCAGAACCACTGCAGCTTAATAAAGTTGTTCTGGTGTCTATAGTTTGTCCCTGCAGGCTTTTTAATGTAAACACACACTGTGTGCAGCACTGGCATTAGTTCATATGGGTGGGGCATTGCGATGTTCCGCGGGGGGGGAGGGGGGCGGCAAATCTTTCTTTTGCCTAGGGCGGCAAAAATCCTTGCACCAGCCCTGATAAGATAAGTGGGTAAATTAAGGCTGATAAATTAAGAATTATCGTTAATAAACAGAACAATATGAAAGCATTATCTCTTGCAATCTGTGCATCATAAACAGCGTGGGCATAGTTAACACATTATATCATGCTGTTGTCTTATGGCTAAGTTAAGACTTAGTAGTTTGTCATGTAACAGCGCTTAAACAGTCACGGTGCAGGCTAGCAATAATAAAAAAGGGGCGTAATAGTTAAGAATTGGGGTCTGTAAACGTATTAATATAAGAGCAGGCTGGTAGTAACCCTTTGGGTGTCGCCTTAGAGGCGTCTAAATATGATGTTCATTAAAGGAGTTATTTTCAGAGAGTCGGGAGCTAAATGTTCCATCCAATCATTGTGTGTAACTCCGTATGTGGTCTGGGTTATATAATGCAGTTGGTCAGGATCTATTTGCGTGTCGATATAACATGGCATTAACATAGTATTAATTAGTATAGGCATGTGTGCCCACAGTACCTCCTGACATGTAGGTAGACACAGGCCCTTACGCCTGCGGTCAGCTGTCGTGAGTGTAATATGGGACGTAGCGACTTTAGTAAAGATTTATATGCGGAAACCAGTAACTCGTTTCTAAAGCCCGCTGAGACAGTATACCCTAACATACTTATTGTGGGCTTAGTTATGTACATAAGTATAGTCGTTATATTACTTATCAGTCTGATACATGCGGTAGCTATTGGTGTAGTGTGTATGCTGTGTCGTGAAGCTAGGGTCTTGGGCATGGGCCTGGGCATCTTATTATGTTGCAATTCGGTTATTAAACACGCCCTAATTAACGGCATTAGTCTTATGCCCTCAGGGGCTCTCTAGCATGGGATGTCATCCTGTGTGACAGTCCCAGGACTCATATGTCTCCGCTACAGCACAGTCCCAGGGTCGCCGAACCTCCTTCCGTCTCCTCCCCACCAACTCCAGTCCACTGGCTGTGTCCTCCACTGTGCCGTGGGCACTCAAGGGCTGAGGCTGTCCACTCGACCCCACCACAAAGTCTGTGGCCCGCCTGCCCCCTGTACCTCCCCGACACCGTGTTGTTCCACAAAAAGCGTGTTCTCCCGAGTCTCTCCCGCTGTCGGCCTCACTCTTGGGGCCGGTACACGTACCCCACGCCGGAAGGGCAGCACACTCCTGCCCCACAGGGCTCGCGGCAGCGGGGACATAGCTCTCCGGGGACCTCCCTACCCAGAGGCTGGGGTACTCACTGCTCCAGCGGGTGCAGGGTCAGCGCAGAGGTTCCATCTGGCGTCCGCTTCGCCTGTTCCTGTACGAGCAGCCCATGCCAGGTCCCCCTAGTGAGTGCGTTCCGCTTCACCTTCTGGGCCCCTACCAGCTCATATTTCTCCTCTGTCCTGGTGCACTTTCTCCATTGTGTCTGCCTCCACCTTCCCTGTGTTCCGTTTTTCTGGCGGGCCTCATCTTGGCAGCCTTTGCCAGTGTAGGGGCAGAGCATGTTCCCCGAGCCGAGGTGTCCGTCTCGGCGCGCGCCATCCCCATGGGCCGGGATCTCCCCCACCGGCCGGGGGGGAGCGGGGCCGTCCCCCGAGCCAGCGTGGTTCTTTATAAGGGTATTTGTCCCCAGGGTGCGTCTCCCGTCCGAGCGGGCCGCCAACCTCTGCGTCTCACTCTTACTCCTTCTGATGGCAGGCTTATGTCGGCTGCTAGGCCGGATTTTACCATGGCTGCGTTCCCTGTATGCTGTTGGCCCTTTACGGGTGTCATTTTGTAGCTGGAGTGTTTCTCCACCTCAGCATGCTCGGGTGTCCGAGATTGGGGTGAGTTTTGCCGTGATTTATAGCCATTGTTTGGGGCTCGGGCTCGGAGCCATGTCTGTCTCCAAAGAGTCATTTTGCATCATAATTCCACTTTATACATGGATTCCTTGGAGTACGTGTCTGCTGTATACAACAGCTTTGAAACAAAACTCAGGAAGAGGAGAAAAGCCAGTGAACCACTCATGGACAGCTGTTTCGTTGTTAATGCAACTCATCAGCATGAGGTTGGTTACGGACAGTCAGGTCGAAATGTTGATCCTAATTGGCAACATTTGAATACACGAATTTCATTAGAAATCCATTGAGTGCTCTCAACTTTGTTTTTTGTTTTTATATATATATATATATATATATATATTATACACACACGCAGGAAGCTACTGTATATAGTAATTGGTGTGAAACATTTCCCCTATATATTCACATTCATATGTAGTTATCACTTGTATAACATAAGTAAAGTTTCAAAAAGGGGGTATAACTACTGCAACCAATTGCATTCAGTGGGCAGCATCTCTTTAATAACGTTTTTTTTTTTGTTCATGTCTGCATGCTGTAACACATTGTGTCTACAGTCCCACATGCCATTCTTCACATCAGATTATTTACTTAGAGGTACACTTCTGTTTGCTTTACAGGAAGGCCCAAAGTTACCTCTCTGCACTCTTGCTATGCTACGATTCCCTAGTGTATCAGGGCTCCCAACTGAAGTTTTCCATTTCCTCTATTGGCTATGTCAGTCTCACATTTCATCTTTGGATAAAACGGATATCAATAATAATTGTGTTATGGTAATAACTATATTGATGTATTCATGTTGTCTGCTGAGCTCTTTGGAAATAACAATATAAGCAAATGTTTATTAGATTAGGAAACAAATATGAGTAATTTGTTTTAATTACTTGGAAATGCAATTACTTGCAGGATGGGTATACGTGCGGATAATGCAACTCCATTGTTAGAAGCTAATAAGGAATTTCAATGTAGGATAGATGCATAGAAATAAAAGTAGCACACAGTTCCTGGGTTTTTATGGAAGTTATGCAATTCCACACATACAGCCACTCAGACTCCCCTGGGATTTTCATTTTCTGCATCATGGTTAATTAAAGACAGCCTTTCCGATGAACAGCATCCAACACTTTTGATGAATGTTGTCTTACCCAAGCTGGGTGCATCAATAATAAATAACAGCAAGTTTTTTTTTTGTTTTTTTGCTGCTGTATTTAGGAATTGCTTTCATGCTTTTTGCATCCGTTTATGTAAACTATATCTCCGGTAACTGTGTAAATATCCAAAACTCCCCTCCCCCCTCGGTCTAGTCTCTAAAGTAAGTTATCTGCATATGTATGTTTTGTATATTGTCTACCTCCTATGGCTTGTGTGAGACCAAGAACATATTGATACTACTGCTGTGATTTTTTATTTATTTTTTATTTTATTTTTTTTATCTGTGGATGTCTTAGCATAACTGTTGCTTGCCAATGTGGAAAACTGACAGAATTTTTCAGTGAGTATTGGTATAGTTCACAATTCTGTGTCAATTGAATAAGAACATGTTGATGTATTATGGAATTTCCAGGAATAATGGAAGACTTCTTGTATTTCATATATATTATGTATTTTTTTTATCAATTTATTTACAGAAATCAAAATATGTACCCAGTTACATATAAAAATCTGCTCTGGGGCAATGTTCTAGAAATGTAACATTCAACAGAACTATTACATTGATTTCCAAAGGGGTTGCTCATGTTTTTGGACCTGTGCTATAGTATCTGTCCTAGTGTTTATAGCCATTTAGTGCACATAAACAATGAAAGACCATAACTATCTCCATAGGGTGATAAAACAAATGCCATTTCTGAAAAACACAATATGGCAAGATAAGTAGTAATATGTCAAATGGCTTTCTTGCCTTGGACACCAGACTGCAAGAACAGAACATCTTGTAACAGTACAGTAAATTAATCCATTGTAAGCCTATACTAGGCTTTAAATTATACAGTCTAGCCTACATAAGCCTTGGAGTCTAGGCTAAACATCAGATTAACTTTGTGGTTTAATAAATCCTTTCAATTGTTTTGAGCAACACTAAGGTCTTTGTAATAGAGTCGATCTACCACCTTTATTACATGTAAGCACAATATTGATGTCCTGTACCCTGCAACATCCGCATCCCGAGAAGGACACCGGATTGATTGTTTTCTAAGATGGTTGGGCCTGTGATGCAATTGTGACATTAACTCTGCACAAAGGGGGAAGGCCTGCTCAGAAAGGGGGTGGTTCTGTGCTAATTACCGGCAGGTCAGCCTGGAAATCAAGCAGGCCTAGCCACTGAGGGCCGGACATGCTGGGAACACTGTTACAGTGCTTTCTGCTGAGTCCTATTCCCCTGACTGTAACAGTGCATTTGATGGTGTGCTCATACTACATTGTTTGGGGACACCAAGGAACATAGTAGAGTCGGTGGAACAGGTCCCACAAATCTGGACTGCCCTACCAAAGTAGAGAGGCCTGATGTCCAGAGTTTCACTCCATAGATACATTCCTCAAAAGTACTATTGGGAGTGTCCATCCTTGACTTTATGGGTTTTTGTTTTGCTACTGTTCCCATGAATTCTGCTAGATGATAGAAAATGGTGGTAAATAGAGCAGAAAAAAATATCGAGGGACGCACACCATTGACTTAGAGAGAAAGTTCCAGAGATTGTCTGGAACCAATAGCCAGGATAGTAATAGATGACATAGTTACTTATTTTTGGAAAATATTTCCTGTGAGTTATTTAGGAAAAAAACTATATAAATATCAGTCAATGCCACTCTAACGTGCAAGGCATAATATAATGCTCTTGCTGACAA